GGGGTCTCTTTAAGGGAGGCCCTCAGATGGATACCCCCTGCCCATGGAACAGAATATTGTTTTCTAGCTTGGCATTCAAGGCTCCTCACCCTCAGCCCAACCTGTATGCCCCCGAGATTTTCCACTCACGCTCTAACCAGAGGCTCTGCTTCGGTCTCCCCACCCCCTAAACTCCACCCGTGTAGAATCTTGCCCCTGCACCTTCACATAAGCTAATTTCCCTCCTGAGATGTCACTCTCTCTTCTGAGTCAAATCTGGTTCAAGTCCCTTATGTCCCAGGATGCTTCCCACACCCTGTCAGCCTAGAATGTCTCTCCTCAGACCTTCTCCAGCACACACATTCACCTTTATCGCATGTCACTTTGAGGAGTCCCTAATTAGAGTTTCCTCAAAACTTCAAGATTTCCTCTCTGTGAGTTCCTGGAGAACAGAGGCTGTTTCTCATCTATTTTGGTGGTTGTTTTGGTTTTTCATTTCCTCTAGTGCTCAGCACAGCCCTCCACCCTTCACATTGTCTCAACTCTTATCACCTTAGAGCCAGCTTAGCAACAATTCCTCTGCCTTTCAGTCTCAGTCTAAACATCACCTCCTCGAAGAGGTCCTCCCTGACCACTCGACCAATGTCACCCACTGCTGCCCATACCCTACAGTCACCCTGGTTAGCTTCTTTATGACATTTATCACTTGTTATAGAATGAATCCTAACCCTGTACCTGTAAATATGACCTTGTTTGGAAATAGGGGTTTTCTTTTTTGTTGATGAGGTCATACCTAATCACAACAGAATACTGTCTGTTATAGAGTTGGGGAGAATGAGCCCCTTAGGTTGGAAGACATACCAATGATCATGACGATGGTGCAGGACTGGACAACATTTCATTCTGTTGTACATGGGGTCACCATGAGTTGGAGCTGACTCAATGGCAACTAACAACAACAAAAAACCTAATCACTTCTGAGTTATAAAAAGGCAGAACAGACACAGAGAAACACATGGGGGTAGGGGGTGGGGAGACAGATGCCAAGGAACACCAAAGAATGTCAAGGAAGTTCCAGGAATTCCTGGGGCTACCAATAAAGAAGGACATCCCCCTACAGCCACCTACTTGTGGTACCTTTTGTTACAGCAGCACCAGGTAACTAAGATATCACTAGTTGAAATTATCTTCTAGATTGATTTATATTCTGTTTCTCCCACTCAGCAAGGGAAGGACCATGTCTTTCTTGGTCACCCCTGTAACCTCAGTGCCTAGAAAAAGGCCTTAGGACAGGGCCAGGTGCTCAATCAATATTCATTGAGTAAATGAGTAAATGTAGGTTTCCCAACTGCAAGCTCCCTGAGGGCAGGGCCTGGTTACTTCCCAGAGAGAGCAAGCACACAGCGCTTGTTGAATAATGTTCACTGATGTAATGTAGGAGAGAAAGCTCTAAGCGTGGACCAGGGGACTAGGGTCCAGGCTACTCATTTGATCATGGATTTGGGGTCATAATGGCCCCTCTCTTGGCCTTCCCTTGAGGGCATTGTGCTTGGATTTCTGAGGTTGCCCATGATGAGCCCTCTAGGATTCAGTGAATGAATGGCTAGCACATGCAATACTCAGGGCGTCCTGGGACACCCTGGGACAGCGATGTGGCTGCCTGGCCACTCACCATCTCCACCTGGAGATCCCTCGATGAGTTCAACACTGAAGTCATCATCTTCTCCTCAGCAAGGCTGCCTTCCTCATGTTCTCAGAGAAGGCAGTACTGTCCACCCAGGCTCCCAGGCCAGAAACTTGGGTGCTTTTCTCTTCTCCTTCCTCACTCTTCCCTCTCAGCGAATCAGTCAGCACGTCTTGCCGATTTTACCTCCTGGGTTACTCCTGAATCCATCCCTTCCTTTGCCCCCCTCCCACCACTATACTAGTGCATCCATCTGGACTTTTTTTTTTTATTATTATTTTATTATTATTGTACTTTAGATGAAGCTTTACAGAACAAACTAGCTTCTCATTAAATAATTAGTACATATAATGTTTTGTGATATTGGTTACCAACCCCACAATATGTCGGCACTCTCCCCTTCTCGACCTTGGTTCCCTATTACCAGCTTTCCTGTCCCTTTCTGCCTTCTAGTCCTTGCCCCTGGGCTGGTGTTTATGGGTCTGTCTAATCTTTGGCTGAAGGGTGAACCTCAGGAGTGACTTCATTAGAAAAGGTTGTCCGGAGGCCATACTCTCAGGGTTTCTCCAGTCTCTGTCAGACCAGTCAGTCTGGTCTTTTTTTTTTTTTTTTTTTGTGAGTTAGAATTTTGTTCTACATTTTTCTCCAGCTCTGTTTGGGACCATCCACCTGGACTTCTGCAGCAGCCTCCTAACTGGTCTCCCTGCCTCTGCTCTGGTCCCCTCCTTTCCCTCTCCACCCCGCGGCCAGAGTGAGCCTTCCAACACCTGAACTGCTCACATCACTGCTTAAAACCCTTAGATGCCTTTCCACGGCCCTTTGGATGGTCTTCAAATACTTTATTACCATCCACCAGGAACTTCATTATCTGGTCCCACCTACCCCACCTCTTACAAAGTCCCTCAGCCCCCAAACTCTTCTAGTCACCTCTTCCAGTTCCCCAAATGCACCATGCTCTGCCTCATGCCTCCAGCCTTTGTACAGGCTATTCGCTCTGCCTGGTGTGTTTTTCTCTCTCCAACTCCCTTCAGATCTCAGCTTAGAATCTCTTCCTCCAGGAGGCCTTCCCTGACTACACCCCTCACTAAGGTGCCTCTTAGGTGTAATCCCAGGAAACCTGTGTTTCAGCTACCACAGCCCTTTTCATTCTAATTGCCTGGTTCTATCTCTCCCCAACTTGTCCCTGAGTTCAGTGAGGGCTAGACCGCATCTGCCTTGTTCACTCAACAAAAGACTTGGTAGACAGCAGAGACTCTGCAAATATTTATTGGATGAATGACACTCAGGCTGCTAGGTTAAAATCTTAGCTTCGTCACATGCTAGCTGTGGACCCTGGGTAAGTCTCTTAACCTCTCCTGCCTACCTCTCCTTACCTGCAACACGGGGACAGTAATGGTGCCTTTCTGGCAGGGTAGTTGTGAGGAGTAAAGCACTTAGAAATGTATTTGCACATAGTGAGCCCTTCGTAGATTTGGCTATTATTAATACAATTTGATGCAACTTTTTCCTGAATCTCAATCCACCCCACTGCGGAGGCCCAAGTATATACGTGCGCCCGGTCCAGCTGCAGAAGAATAGTCACACCTTAGGACCCCGCTGGACGCCTCGGTGTCTGCTCCACCTTCTGTCTGCGTCTTGCACACGCCCGGGGCCCACCTTGGAGACTGATGCCGACGCCGCGGCCCGTTTAAGGAAAGGAGGGGGCGGACCCGAGAAGGCTCCGCCTCCGTGCTGAGGTCAGCGCGCACC